TAAATTTTAGATTTTTCCATTTTTTGGATCTCTTTGTCGTTCGATTTTTTAGCGTTTCGAATAAATTTTTCCGTTGTTTCATTTTTCGATTTTAAAGTTTTCAATTTTTCGACTTCAAGTTTTCACTGTCTCGAGTTTTCTGTGTTCATATTTTGAATTGTCGTTTGTTCAATTTCCCCTTTTTCGATTTTTCAATTGTTCTTCAGTTTTTAATTTTTCGATTTTGGGCTATTTCAATTTCTCAATTTTTTGATTTTTCGATTCTTCAATATTTTCATGTTTCGGTTTTGGGATTTTTCGTTATTATTTCTTCGATATTTTAATTTTTCCCTTTATGGATTTATCAAGTTTTTTATATTCAAGTTTTTCGATTTTTCAATACATATTTTGAGTCTTCAATTTTTCGATTTCTCAATTAAAGTTTTTCAATGTTTCCCCATTTTAATGGTTCGATTTTTCAGTTTTTCGATATTTTAATCTTCCTATTTTTCCATTTTCGATTTATCAATTTTTTTAAATCTAAAATTTTTCTTTTTTTCAATTTTGGATTTCCAATTCTCGATTTTTCAATTTTTTAATCCTACAGTTTTTCAAGTTTTAATTTTCCGATTTTAAAAATTTTACAATTATTCGATTTTTCTATTTTTCAATTATTTTGATTATTAAATTTTAGATTTTTCCATTTTTTGGATCTCTTTGTCGTTCGATTTTTTGGCGTTTCGAATAAATTTTTCCGTTGTTTCATTTTCGATTTTAAATTTTTCAATTTTTCGACTTCAATTTTTCAATGTCTCGAGTTATCTTTTGTTCATATTTTGAATTGTCGTTTCTTCAATTTCCCCTTTTTCGATTTTTCAGTTGCTCTTTAGTTTTTAATTTTTCGATTTTGGGCTATTTCGATTTCTCAATTTTTTGATTTTTTGAAATTTCAATTTTGGAATTTTTCAATTTCTCCATTTCTCGATTTTTCGATTCTTCAATATTTCATGTTTCAGTTTTGGGATTTTTCATTATTATTTCTTCGATATTTTAATTTTTCCCTTTATAGATTTATCAAGTTTTTTATATTTAGGTTTTTGGATTTTTCAATACATATTTTGACTCTTCAATTTTTCGATTTCTCAATTAAAGGTTTTCAATGTTTCCCCATTTTAATGGTTCGATTTCTCAATTTTTTGAAATTTCAGATTTTGGATTTTTCAATATTTTGATTGTTAATTTTTCGATTCGTCCATTTTTTTAAATCTAAAATTTTTCTTTTTTTCAATTTTGGATTTCCAATTCTCGATTTTTCAATTTTTTAATCGTACAGTTTTTCATGGTTGAATTTTCCGATTTTAAAAATTTTACAATTATTCGATTTTTCTATTTTTTTTATTATTAAATTTTAGATTTTTCCATTTTTTGGATCTCTTTGTCGTTCGATTTTTTGGCGTTTCGAATAAATTTTTCCGTTGTTTCATTTTTCGATTTTAAATTTTTCAATTTTTCGAATTCAGTTTTTTAATGTCTCGAGTTATCTTTTGTTCGTGTTTTGAATTGTCGTTTCTTCAATTTCCCCTTTTTCGATTTTTCAATTGTTCTTCAGTTTTTAATTTTTCGATTTTGGCCTATTTCGATTTCTCAATTTTTTGATTTTTTGAAATTTGAATTTTGGAATTCTTCAATTTCCCCATTCTTCAATATTTTCATGTTTCGGTTTTGGGTTTTTCATTATTATTTCTTCGATATTTTAATTTTTCCCTTTATGGATTTATCAAGTTTTTTTATATTGAAGTTTTTGGATTTTTCAATACATATTTTGAGTCTTCAGTTTTTCGATTTCTCAATTAAAGTTTTTCAATGTTTCCCCATTTTAATGGTTCGAATTCTCAATTTTTCAATTTTTCGATATTTTAATCTTCCTATTTTTCCATTTTCAATTTATCAATTTTTTTAAATCTAAAATTTTTCTTTTTTTCAATTTTGGATTTCCAATTGTCGATTTTTCAATTTTTTGATCGTACAGTTTTTCATGTTTTAATTTTCCGATTTTAGAAATTTTACAATTATTTGATTTTTCTATTTTTCAATTATTAAATTTTAGATTTTTTTTCCATTTTTTGGATCTCTTTGTCGTTCGATTTTTTGGCGTTTCGAATAAATTTTTCCGTTGTTTCATTTTTCGATTTTAAATTTTTCAATTTTTCGACTTCAGTTTTTCAATGTCTCGAGTTATCTTTGTTCATATTTTGAATTGCCCTTTCTTCAATTTCCCCTTTTTCGATTTTTCAATTGTTCTTCAGTTTTTAATTTTTCGGTTTTGGGCTATTTCGATTTTCCAATTGTTTGATTTTTTGAAATTTCAATTTTAGAATTCTTCAATTTCCCCATTTCTCAATTTTTCGATTCTTCAATATCTTCATGTTTCGGTTTTGGGATTTTTCGATATTTTAATTTGTCCCTTTATGGATTTATCAAGTTTTTTTATATTTAAGTTTTTGGATTTTTCAATAGGTACATATTTGAGTCTTCAATTTTTCGATTTCTCAATTAAAGTTTTTCAATGTTTCCCCATTTTAATGGTTCGATTTCTCAATTTTTCGATATTTTAATTTTCCGATTTTTTTTCCTTTTCTTCAATTTTGGATTTCCAATTTTCGATTTTTCAATTTTTTAATCCTACAGTTTTTCATGTTTTAATTTTCCGATTTTACAATTGTTCTTCAGTTTTTAATTTTTCGATTTTGAGCTATTTCGATTTCTCAATTTTTCGATTCTTCAATTATTAGATTTTTTATTTTTCAATTTTTTTGATTATTAAATTTTAGATTTTTCCATTTTTTGGATCTCTTTGTCGTTTCGAATAAAATTTTCCGTTGTTTCATTTTTCGATTTTAAATTTTTCGACTTCAGTTTTTTAATATCTCGAGTTATCTTTGTTCATATTTTGAATTGCCGTTTGTTCAATTTCCCTTTTTCGATTTTGAGCTATTTCGATTTCTCAATTTTTCGATTCTTCAATATTTTCATGTTTCGATATTTTAATTTTTCCCTTTATGGATTTATATATAAGTTTTTTTTTATATTTCAGTTTTTGGATTTTTCAATACATATTTCGAGTCTTCAATTTTTCGATTTCTCAATTAAAGCTTTTCAATGTTTCCCCATTTTAATGGTTCGATTTCTCAATTTTTCTATTTTTCGATATTTTAATTTTCGTATTTTTCCATTTTCGATTTATCAATTTTTTTAAATTTCAGATTTTGGATTTTTCAATATTTTGATTGTTAATTTTTCGATTCATCGATTTTTTTAAACCTAAAATTTTTCTTTTTTTCAATTTTGGATTTCCAATTCTCGTTAGACTCCGCCCCTAGGTCAGCTAACGAATGAAAACTTCATTACAAGATTAGAGCTGGTACGAGTGGGGCTTAATCTTTGGCTTTAATTTTTTCTTAATATAAGTACGTACATAGAATTCTTTGAAGAACACAATACTCAAAAACATGTTTTTATTTCTTGTAGAGAAATACGGATTTTGCAATTAAGCTCCGCCCCTTTAGCTCACGATGAATATAAAAATCATCACAATTGAGATAGGGTGGGTGGGTGGGGCTTATATTTTTCCTTTTTTTTTAATATACACAGCCATCTTTTCATAACAAGAAACTTAGAACATGGTTAAAATGGAATAGAGAAATATCGATTTTGCAATTATGCTCCGCCCCTCGGTCTGACAACGAATAAAAAAATCATCACAATTGATAATTGAGATGGGGGTGGGTATAGGTGGGACTTCTCTTTTAGTTTTCTTTTTTAATTAATACATCTAGGAGTTTTCTTTGTATAACACGATTACTTAAGAACATATTTCACATGGTAATTTCTCGTACAAAAATAAGGATTTTACAATTAAGCTCCGCCCCTCGGGCTTCTGACGAATAAAAAAAATCATCAGAATTGAGATCGGGTGGGTGGGCGGGGTTTATATTTTGCGTTTTTTTTCTTAATATACATAGCTATCTTTTCACAACAAGAAACTTAGAACGTGGATAAAATGGTACATTTTTTAAAGAAAATATGGATTTTGCAATTAAAACAAAAAGAAAAATATAAGCCCGCCCACCCGCCCTATCTCAATTGTGATGATTTTTTTTATTGGTCGTGAGTCAAGGGGGCGGGCCTTAACTGCAAAATCCTTATTTCTTTACAAGAAATTAAAAACATGTTTTTCAATATTGTGTTCTTCAAAGAGTACTTTGTATATTAAGAAAATAAGACATAATATAAACCCCACCCACCCACCCATCTTCATTCTGATGATTTTTTTATTATTAGAAACTTTAAACAAATTTAAAATGGTAAATTGAGAATTGTGATGGGGCGAGTATTGGTGGGGCCTAATCTTTGCCTTTAATTTTTTATAATACATATACAAAGTATTCTTTGTACAACACGATACTCAAAAACATGTTTTTAATTTCTGGTAGAGAAATAAGGATTTTGCAGTTAAGCTCCGCCCCTTTGGCTCACAACGAATACAAAAATTCATCACAATTGAGATAGGGCGGGTGGGTGGGGCTACATTTTGCCTTCTTTTTCTTAATATGTGTAGACTTATTTCGACAACAAGAAACTTCACGACAAAAATGACTTTTTTGTTAAAAAAAAAAAAAAAATGTGGGGTGAAACGCACCACTTTACTTTCTACTGATTTCAGTTTAGAAATTTCTTCTAAATCGTCCGATAATCCAATCCTTAAATCCGAGTCATTCAAATGAGAATTGGGTTGGAAATAATAAACAATGCTTTTGGAATTACCAAAAATTATATTTTTTGGTTTTTAAGTTAAATTGCAAGATGTTGTAATTTTGATTTTTTTCTCCAAAAATCTGGATGTCTAGGATAAAAATTCAATAGGGGTTCATATACCAGATCTGCCTAATAAAAATCCAGACAGACGGAAAAAATATGACACTGGGTTGGTAAAAATAACGTTAAAAGTAGTGTTGTCTTAGGGACCATTGCGTTTGTTTCCACCCACACCACTAACATCCGAAAATCTCACACTGACTCTGAATTTAACCATTCCAAGCGTTGCCTTAGTTCACGTCTGTCCAAAACCAACTGAACCTCCAGGACCTGTAACAAAGTTATCAGTTTTCAATGTAACCAGAAGCGAAATTTTTTTAACTTGGAGTGACTCGGAAATTGCAACAAAGTGAGTGATTTTTGCTTAGTTTTATTTTAAACAAAAATATCACTGTTTTAGATGTGTCCGCACGTATGAAGTTGAATTTGAAGCCCAGTGTTCCAACAGTTTGCAGTTCATAAGGATAAACCCAGACGACGGCGTGTTTCTTTCGTACCATTACGCACCTCCAGGTAAATTAATTTTGATGGATTTATCGATTTTTTAAATTCATTTCTTTTAATAGATAATGAAGAATGTGAGTCCACTGTGGGTAGATATAGGGTTCGCGCGATAGATTACTGGGATCAGCCAGGGAATTATTCCCAAGTTGTTGTTTTCCCTTATTAAAATTTATGCCGTAATATTTGAATATTATATTTGGTTTTCAATGAATAATAATAATTTCAATAAATTAGTACAAAAAAGCGTATTCGTTTTTATGATGCCATGTTACCAAATAAAGCCCAAGGTACCCTCCACATTTGCACATGGCCGTTTTCAGTCCCAACAGCCACAATATTACTCCTAAAAATTAAAACAAAAACAAAAAAATTGTATTGTGTTAAAATCAAACTGATTTACTTTGTCCTATTTATCTCGATTTGTGTCAAAATTTCTGTCTTTACTTTATCTCTGGTGGTTTTCTCAATCGCCTTTCCTTTAACCAACTGGAAAATCTCTATAACCCCATTTTTACCACACCCACACACAATCCTCTCCTCGTACGGAACCCAAGCGACACAATTTAAAGCACTTTTCAAAAAAATCACTTGCGCCGGATCCTCCTACAAAAAACGTCACTAACAACCAGAATTATCAAAAAACACCAGTACTTGTTCAATTAAGTAAATTCTAATTTCCAAATCGGACCCGCTAGTCATGAACATGTCTTTTCGATTTGGCGAAAAACTAATCGAGTTGACTTCGCCCTTATGGGGTTGGTGGTACTTGAACACGGAATCCAGAACAGGAGTCTCCTCTGATTTCCCTATTCATCACAAACAATTAACAGTTAAGACACGATTTTTTTGTCGTACCCGGCAATTTTTTGGTACCGAGTAAAGAACACTGAACCACCCAGCCTCCTTCAGTTCCTACTACAAACATTTCTGGAGAGTGTACAGAAAAGTTGAAACAAGTTATGGCTCTGGTTGCTTTTTTTACAGCTTCTTCTGAAGATAGTTCTGAGGGTTTTGGAAACAGTGGTGACCGAATTTGATGCCTAAAAATACAGAAAAAAATTGGTCTAAAGAGTTTAGACAGTACTTCCCTCGCTGTCGGAAACTTGACGACTGCATGCCTATTGTGTTTTTTTTCTCATTACATTTTTGTAGTGGGAATTTAAAAAAAAATTGCGATGACGTCATCAACATTTTTGCAAGGACACGTATATCAGTTGGGATAGATGTAGTCTAATACTAAGAATAAAATTATTATATTCTCAAATTTTCGGGAAAATGAATTGGGTCGTTTTGAATATTGATTTGTAATAATCAATAAAATAACGAAACAATTTACTCACGTATACGTATCAGAGGCAACTGAAAATCGTGTATGTATAAACATTCTTAATTTAAGATGACAGGCGTAACAGCATACGTGAGAGTCAAACAGAGAAACTGTAAACAAAACGACCATCGGTTTTATTGCTTCGACTTCCGCTTATTATATAAAACATTGGGTTTTATTTTAATTCTTGACGGTGAAATTCACAATTGGTTGATTATAAACATGTCTATTTCACATTCGCGGAACCAAGTGAGCGCATAAAACAAATGCAGGTCTGTAATGTTAAAGTCGATGTAAATAAGCGTGCTACCCTTATGTTTCAACCGAGTTTTTCCTTTAACAAATTTTGTGTCTACCAAATTGGGTTGGTTGGGGTGTAATACTAATAATAAGTGTTGCCTTTAATTTAATCAATAAAATAAATTGACTTCATTAATTTTTTTGAACCACCTCTTAAGAAAATCTAAAAAATATGAATGGAATGATAAATCACAAGTACAAACTCATCATATTTTTTGCATTTTAGACAGGATTTATTCAGCAAAATTTAAGGGTGGCGTCATCAATTTTTTTAGGAGGGATGAACAAATACATTTTGAACAAAAGTTTACCATGCTTATAATAACTTTAAAATATTCCCAAGATTTCAAAGCATTCGGTTTTGTAATTCCTGATTAAATCGATAAAATAAATTCACGCCTTCATTAATTTTTTTGAGTCACCCTGCATATGCAAATCCAAAAATATGAATGGAATGATAAATCACAAGTACAGACTCATCATATTTTGTACATTTTAGATACGATTTATTCGGCAAACTTTTGAGCTGACGTCATCAGTTTTTTGTAGAAGATAACCAAATATATTTTGACTAAAAATTTATTATGCTCTTTATAACCTTAAAACATCTGCAAGATTTCAAAGCATTCGGTTTTGTAGTTCCTGATTAAATCAATAAAATAAATTTACGCATTCATTAATTTTTTTGAGTCACCCTGCATATGCAAATCCAAAAATATGAATGGAATGATAAATCACAAGTACAAACTCACCATATTTTGTACATTTTAGATAGGATTTATTCAGCAAAATTTTGTGGTGACGTCATAAATTTTTTAGGGGGGACGACCAAATACATTTTGATCAAAAATTTACTATGTATATGATAATTTTAAAATATCTTCAAGATTTCGAAGCATTCGGTTTTGTAGTTCCTGAGTAAATCAGTAAAATAAATTTACGCTTTAATTTATTTTCTTGAATCACCCTGTATATGCAAATCCAAAAAATATGAATGGAGTGATAGATCACAAGTACAGACTGGCCATATTTTGTACATTTTAGATATGATTTATTCGGCAAATTTTCGAGCTGACGTCATCAAGTTTTTGGAGGGGATAAGCAAATATATTTTGACTAAACATTTATTATGCTCTTTATAACCTTAAAACATGTGCAAGATGTCAGAGCATTCCGTTTTGTAGTTCCTGATTAAATCAATAAAATATATTTACGCATTCATTAATTTTTTTGAGTCGCTCTGTATATGCAAATCCAAAAAATATGAATGGAGTGATAAATGACAAGTACAGACTCATCATATTTTGTACATTTTAGATATGATTTATTCCACAAACTTTTGAGCTGACGTCATCAAGTTTTTGGAGGGCATAAGCAAATATTTTTTGACTAAAGATTTATGATGCTCTTTATAGCCTTAAAACATCTGCAACATTTCAAAGCATTCTGGTTAGCAGATTAAAAATTAAATTTCAAAATGTTGTTTTATAATTTTGATTTTTTTTCCAAAAATCTGGACGTTTCGGGTGAAAAGTCGATTCGGAGTTGTAAACTACATGTGTAAGACTATGTTATTTTATACAATTGAAAACCCATTTACTATGTACAATTTTGAAGTGACGTCATCGCATTAGTGGTGGGGATGATTAGACAAATTTTGGTTAGCGTTTTACCATCTACATGATATTCTTAATATAAGTACAAAATTTCACAACAATCGGTCGAGTACTTTCGGAGATTATCTGTCTAATAAAAATCCGGGACGGCAGACAGACGGACGGACAGACGGACAGACAGACGGAAATGGGGGACCTATTTCTTCGTCTTCTCGGGGTCAAAAAAGCAAAAAGTTCTTCCAGAATGGGCCCCGTTTTGTTGTCACACTGACCCTAACATTCCCTGTGCTATGACCAACAACACACACCTGCCGCTCTACGGATAGCCTATCCTGAAACAGCGTGACGTGTGTCTGACTGAACCATTCAGCGGTACTTTCTACCACAGATCCGGGGACCTTCCACAAGGTTAGTGAGTTATGAAAACTCTGTACGTACCCTCGTAGGTTAGGCTTGGAAGAACCAAGGACAAGTCTAACACCACCCGTATATCTACTTACACCCAGACGTTGAACGGTAGTGAGATGTAACAATTACCACAATCAGTACCAACTTAACAACTTACCTTTCTTTCAAACTTAACCCAAACTCAACTGGGCTAAAATTCCACAATGATAAAAGCCCGTCGAGACCAGCTGACGCCAAAAGTACGAGTTTCACGGAATTAATATCAGCAATCCACGACAGTTGGGTTATACCATCTCCATGACCGTCAACTTTGGCCACAATTTGCTCATCATCTCTTTGTATATTCCACACAACAATGCCGCCTGAGAATAACCCAGCGGCCACTATAGCCGGAAGCACTGAATGAAATCGGAGATCCGCGACGCACGATTCCGTCGTCAATTTCATTCTGGGTGCTTCTGGTAAATTATCATCGTTATCCAACGTGTAAAAAACCACCACGCCTTCATGGTAACACCACGAGTTGTGTTTATAGGTGTAGGCAACCCCCAGAGTTTTGTTAGTGGAGTTCCAGGACAACGCCGAAACGTGGCAACCCTTATAAAAGCACAATTTTTATTTTTGTCTAACCTGAAGACACCAACTTACAACTGCTGCGTCTTTAGCATGCGTTGACACGTCCAGCGTTTGCACCAGTCGACAATTGGCATCTGAGTTATCAGTCGATAGTTTATAGCCCCTGAACGCCCGCGAGTGGGCATTATCATCCAACTCCTTCTTAACACTAGGGTAGATTTTTTTCAACCACGCCGCTAGTTTCTCTTCGTCGACTTCGCAAGTGGGGGCTGACGCTTGACTTTCGGTTTGAACCTAAATTACTAGTGTCATAGTGGAAACGAAAACACGAACTTACCTCAATGTCTTTCTTGTCAGACGTGTTCGTATCCATGTCCGTTTTCGTGTACTCGGTTGTCTGAGTGGAGCCAACCAGAGACACCCTAGAAAAAGTTTCAAGTAGTTGCGCTAAAACGTAAAATTGTCACTGCGTGATACTTTTTGACTTTCCAACGCGACTCAAAACCGACGCATTCGTTGTGTTTGAGCCCGAACATGGTGACAAGAGTCTGAAAATCGATATGGGGGCTCACCTTGTTTAAATTTGGTTACTAGGCAACGCTGACAGTCACTGACAGTCAGGGCGACAACACGAACACGGACAAGCTTAAAACTATAGTTATAAATTTGTATCTTTATTATTAATGCGTAATTCAAGATCTATCACCTTAAAAAATAATGGTAATAAACACGTAATAAAGTTACAAAATTGGATCGATTACACACTTTTATTAATTATCAATTATGTTGGTAGCACTGCAGTACTAAGTGAGGTTATGCCACTCTCTTGTTTACAAAAATATTGAAAAAAATGTTCGAAAACGCCCCCGAAAAAGACAAGTGCTACATTTGCGTGAACTGCGGTAAGAAAGTGAAGAGTTTGTTCAAGAAATACAGCGCGAGCGTGCTAAAATTAACCGATTGTGTAAATATACATGTTTTTCGAAATTCCTTCTCTTACGACCGCTTTTCATCAGGAAAGCTGCCATAACGTAGCCGACAAGTACGTAGAGTACGATGTTGTGATAATTATCATCGATTTAGTGCTTCTGCAGAAAACGGCGTACCGACATGTCTTATTTAACGTTGATTTTAAGGTAAGGCGGCTCATTTTTTCGTTCGATTATTCACGACTTGTAGAATTTCTGGAAACTCTCTGTGATTCTTCTGTTAATGGAAGCGTACTCCGAACTCATGCGAAGTTCGCCTGAACGGGTCATAAAAACCAACGAAGATGAGAAACCGTTTTTGAACGAGTTTAACGAAATGGCGGACTTTTTGTTCTACAAATTGAGTCTCAACGTAGCTATAAGTATTGTTTCTATGTAGCATTGTTTATTTCAGAATTGAAACGTCTGTTGTAGAAACCAGCTGTTTTATGTTGGTTTTGTACTTCCTGACAAAAATGTATTGCAAAGTCTTAAGGAGAGATGTGATTGATTTTGTGTCAGTTTGGAAGACTTTGACCATATCTAGTTTTGGTACGTTTCTGCTTCTACCGTCGCTTATGTGGGACACTAGCGTCCAAGAATTCCATCTCTGTGTTGTGTCCTTGTACACCACAATGTCGCAACTTTTGGCATACACGGCTCTTTGCAACTGCCAAAAGTTCTGGAGCATCATCACCATCTTCAGCGCCTATTATTGCAAAACGTTCTGTTTCGACTTTTTAGACGCAGTGTACACAAACATTGTAAACAATATTTAAAATAAATCTAGAACGCGTCTTTCGTTTCACTAATTGTCACCCAAAATGGCCAAAGACAGCGTTAATCCGCCCTTCACCAACGGGTACTGGATCTGGGATGACCACGTCAACAGTCTCGCGTTTATAAGGTACACGCAAATGTTTTGAGCCTATGGACGGGTCATTTTTGCCTGCCCTCACCGAAGAAGGCGGTCCAAATCCTTCAAGGGCAGAATTTGTAGGTAGGCTCAAACTACAACGAAATTTACATTTGGTAAGAAGTATTTATGGCTCACACCAGTTCTCTCGAATTTGTCGGAGAAGATTTAGCAGGTAGTTATTCCCATAAAATAATGGTCACTTTCGTTCGTGAGTAACGATGGTCCGGACAGGAATTATTTTGCTTTCTAACATCTTTCGACCGTATTTTCCGTATAAAAAATTTCATCACTTTTTCCAATAAAATACTCTTAAATGTTCATAATAAATAAATAAAAAACGATATTGTTGAGTGTCCCCTCTAAAAAATTTATGACGTCACCTCAAAATTTTGCAGAATAAATCCTGTCTTAAATGTATAAAATATGATGAGTTTTTATACTAGTGATTTATCACTGCATTAATATTTTTTAGATTTGGTTATACAGGGTGTCTCATAAAAGTTAATGACTGAGTCAATTTATTTTATTGAAGAAATCAAGAATAGCAAAATTGAATACTTTGAAATATTGTAGATGTTTTGAAGTTTTTGTAAGCATGGTAACTTTTTCGAAAATTTGATTAATATGCGCAAAATCAAAAATCAGAAAAAATGAAATTCACAAATGCAAAAAACAGAAAATCGAAAAATACGAATCGTAAAAATCAAAAAAATAAAATGGCTAATTAAAAATCGAAAATTCAAAAATTGAAAAACGGGAAAACCAAAAAATCGAAAAGTAATATTGAAAATTAAAAAAATCAAAAACAAAAATAAAAAAAAATCGGAAATTAAAATAATCAATATATATGAAGTAGAAAAAATTTGCAAAGCCTAAAAACTGAAACGAACAGAAAAATCGAAAAAGTGGAAAATCGAAAATCTGAATAAAGAAAATTGGAAAATCGAAAACCAAAAAATCGGGAAGTAACAAAATTGAAGTCTAACAGTTGAGAATAGAAAAATTGAAAAACCGAAAATTATAAAAATCGACAATGGACAAACTGAAAATCGCAAAATTTAAATTGAAAAATTGATCACGGAAAAATCGATGAATTGAAAAATCGAAAATTCGACTACTCAAATTTTCCAAAAATCTAAAAATCATAAAACTGAAAAATCCAAAATTCTAATGATCGAAAGTCTGAAAACTGAAAATCGAAAGTTCTGAAAAGCGGAAAATAGAATATCGAAAAATTTAAAAGAAAGAAAATTGAAGTCTAAAAACCGAAGAATGGAAAAATTAAAAATCAAAACCGAAAAATTCAAGGATTTAAAAAGAAAATCGAAAAATCAAAAATCTGAAATTGAAACTCGAAAATTTGGAAAATCGAAAAGTAAAAAAATTGAAGTCTAAAAGCTGAAAAATGGAAAACTGAACAATCGAAAATCCGAAAATCAAATATCGAAAAATCGAAAAGCCGAAAATCGAAAATTTGATAAATCAGATATGCGAAAAACAGAAAATCTGAAAATACAAAACTGGAAAATCAAAAATCCAAAAATGGAAAAACCGAAAATCGAAAATTCAATGAATCTAATACGTAGGTCGATCGAAAAACTGGAAATTCACAAATCTGAAAAATCGAAACTTTGCAAGATTGAAAAACCGAGAATTGAAAAATCAAAAATCGAAAAATAGGAAAACCGAAAATTCATAATATTGAAAACTCTAAAAGTCGACAATTCAAAAATCAAAAAATTGGAAAGTAAAATAATCGAAAAATCGAAAAGTAAACAAATTGCAAAGCCTAAAAACTGACGAACAGAAAAATCGAAAAATCGTAAAATCGAAAATTGAAAAACGGGAAAACCAAAAAATCGAAAAGTAATATTGAAAATTAAAAAAATCAAAAACAAAAATAAAAAAATCGGAAATTAAAATAATCAATATACCGGGTGTTTCTTTTATTTGATACAACCCCTGTAAATTTTTTATTTTTAAAGATAAATCTGTAGTTCTTTGAGCAAATTTGTATCATTTTAAAAGATCTAGTGATGGCAACAATTTTTCAACTGTTTTTCAAGCAACTAGATTTTGAAATAAATGGAAAATTTTGAAGATATTTTACTCAATAACTTTTTTATTATTGATTTTAGAATATTGGTTGCTTGTGATTTTTTGTAGTGAAAAAATCAATCTTTCCATTTATGAAAAAATATACCTAGTGTTCCATTAAAAAAAATAAGTTGACGTCATTTCCGGTTCTACCGCCAGTGATAATAAAAATGTGTGCTTACCATCATATAAATCTTTGAGAATGATACAAATTTGGTTAAAGAACTACGGGTTTATCTTCAAGAATAAAAAAGTTATAGGGGTTGTATCAAATAAAAGAAACACCCTGTATATGAAGTAGAAAAAATTGCAAAGCCTAAAAACTGAAACGAACAGAAAAATCGAAAAAGCAAAAAATTGGAAAAACAAAAATTCGAAAAATCTAAAATCGAAAAAGTGGAAAATCGAAAATCTGAATAAAGAAACTTGGAAATTCTGAAAATTGGAAAATCGAAAACCAAAAAATCGGGAAGTAACAACATTGAAGTCTAACAGTTGAGAATAGAAAAATTGAAAAACCGAAAATTATAAAAATCGACAATGGACAAATTGAAAATCGCAAAATTTAAATTGAAAAATTGATCACGGAAAAATCGATGAATTGAAAAATCGAAAATTCGACTACTCAAATTTTCCAAAAATCGAAAAATCATAAAACTGAAAAATCCAAAATTCTAATGATCGAAAGTCTCAAAACTGAAAATCGAAAATTCTGAAAAGCGGAAAATAGAATATCGAAAAATTTAAAAGAAAGAAAATTGAAGTCTAAAAACCGAAGAATGGAAAAATTAAAAATCAAAATCGAAAAATTCAAAGATTTAAAAAGAAAATCGAAAAATCAAAAATCTGAAAATTGAAACTCGAAAATTTGGAAAATCGAAAAGTAAAAAAATTGAAGTCTAAAAGCTGAAAAATGGAAAACTGAACAATCGAAAATCCGAAAATCAAATATCGAAAAATCGAAAAGCCGAAAATCGAAAATTTGATAAATCAGATATGCGAAAAACAGAAAATCTGAAAATACAAAACTGGAAAATCAAAAATCTAAAAATGGAAAAACCGAAAATCGAAAATTCAATGAATCTAATACGTAGGTCGATCGAAAAACTGGAAATTCACAAATCTGAAAAATCGAAACTTTGCAAGATTGAAAAACCGAGAATTGAAAAATCAAAAAACCGAAAAATGGAAAAATCAAAAATCGAAAAATAGGAAAACCGAAAATTCATAATATTGAAAACTCTAAAAGTCGACAATTCAAAAATCAAAAAATTGGAAAGTAAAATAATCGAAAAATCGAAAAGTAAACAAATTGCGAAGCCTAAAAACTGACGAACAGAAAAATCGAAAAATCGTAAAATCAAAAAGTGGAAAATCGAAAACTGGAAATTGAAAAATCGAAAAATCGAAAATCGGAATATCGAGAATCGACAAATTAAAAAACCGAAAAATCGAAAAATTAAAAAATCGGAAATCGAAAAATGAAAAAAAAAAACAATTCAAAAATCGAATAATCCAAAACTAAAAAAATAGAAAAGTGGAAAAGTAAAAATTGCAAAGTCTCAAAACTGACGAACAGAAAAATCGAAAAATCAAAAAAAATCGAAAAATATCTAAAAATGGAAAAACCGAAAAATCTAAAATCGAAAACTCGAAAAATCGAAAATTCGATGAAACAAATACTCGAAAAAGCGAAAAGTAATAAAAATTGCAAGGCCTAAAAATTGAAAAATCAAAAAATCGGAAAAATGAAAATCGAAAAAACGACGATCGAAAAAAAATAAAAAAATCGAAAAGTGGAAAATCGGAAAGTAACAAAATTGAAATCTAAAAGCTGAAGAAGGGAAAATTCTAAAAAGCAACAATCGAAAAAAGTAAAATTAAAAATTGAAAATTTGAAAAATGGAAAATCGAAAACTTTTGAAGATTTTGAAAAATCGCAAAAATGATAATCGAAAAATCGAAATGCTAAAAAATCGAAAATTCGATTAATCAATATTCTAAAAATCGAAAAAACGGACACAAATCCACAAATCTGAAAAATCGAAAATCGAAATATGAAAAATTAAAAAACCGTAAAAAATTGAAAAATCCCAAATCGATAAATGGAAAAACCGAAAATTCAAAAATCAAACTATCGGAAAGTAAAATAATCGAAAAATGGAAAAATAAAACAAATTGCAGAACCATAAAAACTGAAACAAACAGAAAAATCTAAAAACCACAAAAGCGGAAAAACGAAAATCGAAAAATCGCAAATCGAAAAATCGTAAAATCAGAAAATGGAAAATCGAATAATCGAAAGTTGAAAAATCGAAGGTCAAAAAATAAAACAACCGAAAAATGGAAAATTTAATGATTAATGGAAAATCGAAAAATCGAGAACAGAAGAATTAAAAAACCGGAAAATTGAAAAATCGAGAATTCAAAAATCAAAAAAATCGGAAAGTAAAATATAATCAAAAAATGCAAAAAAATTGCAAAGTCTAAAAGCTGACGAACAGAAAAATCCAAAAATCTAAAAATGGAAAGACGAAAAATCGAAAATTGAAAGAATGGCAAATCAAAAAATCGAAACATCGAAAAATCAAAAAAACGAAAAATTAAAAAATCGAAAAACGAAAAAACTGAAAACTCGAAAATTCAAAATACCGCAAACTTGAGAAATCAGAAAATTGGAAAGTAATAAAATCGAAAAGTTGATAGAAAAATGGAAACTGAAAAATCTAATTCTATGAAACTGTTGGTCGATAAAACGAAAAATCGAAAATCGAAGTGACCT